CCTTGTAAAGGCTGCCCTTCCTGCCCCCATCTCACTCTATTCTGTATCATCCATATTTACCTTGTCATCAATGGTATCGAATTTGGTAAGGACGATGCCATCAATGAGCCGAGGTGTTTGAGCCATAGAATGGTCAGCCAAGGCTCTGTTGAATTTGACCTATAAGGGAGAAACATGATATAACTGTAAGAAGCACCCAACTGTCCAAAGATAAGGCTGGGAAAAGAACTAGGCCCTAGCCCTCACCAGCTGGTCCACGGCCTCATTGCCTACTAAGGCCTCCCCCACAAACAGCACCAAGTCGGGTGTGTTGACAGTAATGAGCTTAGCCAGGGCAGTCATCAGAGGGGCATTGTCTTGCATGCGGCCAGCTGTGTCCACCAGCACCACATCAAAGCCTTGGTTACGTGCTAAAGAGAAAAAAGTGGTCAACTCAAAACATCTGGAATATCCTGTTCATTCCCAGCTTTCTCTCAAGAAGTCATAACCTGGCTGTATTAAAAGCCTATGTGTTTACTTTCTTGGGCTCTGGATCTGGCTGTAAGGTTATATGAGCAAAAAAACTATTCTGTGCTTGGCAATCAAGAACATTCAGGAAAAGATGGCAACAGGATAGAGGAGAGCAAACAGGTTTCTTTGGTGGGAATGTATTTTGCCTGCAGCTAGTACTCCTGTTACCCAAGGCAGAGCACTGCAAGTTCCCAATCCTGACTTGTTACAGAGCAGTAAGTTGGTAGGAGGGTAACCCTGACCTTCTGCCAATCCCAAGGAAACCCAAGGAGGAACGGGGCCCACACAAGCTCCCCCACGCTTTCTCTGCGCCATACCAAAGGCAATCGCTTCCATGGCGATTCCAGCAGCGTCCTTGCCGTAGCCCTTTTCAAACAACTGCACCATAGTGCGGCCACCGTGATTCTCTGGGGGGTGTAGGGCACTCAAACGCCGGGTGTGTGTACGCAGCTGCTCCACGGCCCCGGCACGAAATGTGTCACAGGCCGCAATGAGGACACTGAAGCCATTCTCTAACAGCCAGAAAGAAATCTGTGGGAAAAAAGCAAAGAAACCAGTCATCTAGAATGAGAATTGCTAAGACATGGAGAGTGAAGAAAATGGGGAGCTCTACTGACCTTGGCAAGATTAGTAGACTTCCCCACTCCATTAACACCGCAGAAGGTGACAACGTAAGGGCGCTGATGACGCTGGGCATCCATGATATCCCGCAGCATGTCAACACGACGCTGTGGCTGCAGAATCTGTACCAGGGACTCCTGTAGGGCTTGCTTTACTGTGGAAGTCACCGCTAAAAAGGGAGGTGGATCCATGAAACCCAAGGAACGTACTCGAAGAACACCCAACACCTAAGGGAGCTGGGACCTTGTCCCAGGACTCCACACCATAAGTGATCGTGTTCCAAGCACTTAAACTCATTTAATTGTGATAACTCTTAAAGTCTAAGTTCTGTAATAGCCGTTTAGAGGTGAAGGAGTTTGCCAGAAGCCATACATCTAGCAAGAATGGAGAACAATGCTCTTCACCTCCTAGTAAGTGTAATCCCTTGAGCACTTTCTGGTTTAGGGAGATACTTACTGCTGAATGTCCCCATCACCTTCCCTTCCAACTTGTTGGCCACAGATTCACAGAGCTGGACTGCAATGTCTGCTGCCACATTCTTAGCTGGAGAGACAGGAACAGGTGTGAGTGCCACGTCCACAGTAAACAACCCGTGGTACAGCTGAGAGTTCTAGGTGGTTCTACTCTCCACCATCTCTGTCCCGTACACACGAGTCCACCTGTTCTCAGAACTTACCAATGAGATGATCACGCATCTTGTCCAGCACAGATTCCATGTCTGCACGACTCAAGCTCTTGGACCCCACAAGGCCCTTCAGCATCCCAAACATGCCACCCAGAGTTCCCTTGGTAGCACTGCAGGCACAGGAAGTGATGGATATGTATAAAGCCAGCGGGCAGGAATGAAGTTTCATCTGTTCTGGAGCCATACCTCCCACTCACCACCTGAAATTCCCCTACCTAGGTTTGGTGGAGTTTTGAGTGGCCCCCTCATCCTCTGAGCTGCTGCAGTCCAGATCCTGAAGCTGCCCCCCAGGCCCAGTACCTCGAATCTGGAGGGTACAGGGAAAGGAGTAAGAGGGGATCAGGAACTCTCGAGAGCTGAAGGGGAAGAAGCCCAGGATTTACCCTGTCCTCATTCCATCTCTGATTTGGAAAACTCCAAATGTAACCCACCCCTTCATTCAAAGCAACCAAAGGTACTACCCTCCTAGTCTCTACCTCCTCCCCAAATGCTTACTAATGGTAACTCTGACTGGCCCCTATTGCCTCTTACCAAGTTGATATCCTCAGGTGGGGCAACCTCAGGGGCTCCGTTGGTGGTGGGGGTGCTATAATCCAAGACTTCCTTGTTTGCACAGCCACCCAGAGCCCACACCCGGGGTGCTTTTTTGCCCTTCTCCTTTGGAGCATCTGATTTCATGGACTTGCTGTAAAGGGTTACAGCACAAAGGGTTACGGTGAAGTAGGAAAGGAAACATCCACTCAAGAACCAGGGATAAGCGCTCCCTTGCCCCCACTGTGGCTAGATAACAACATTTGTGGTGAAAGTTAGAATGCTCACCTGGACTTCTCCATACCTCTCCCATGCTTCTGAATGAATTCCTCTCGCTTCCTACGTATCAGCTCTTCTTTGGAAAGTTCTACCCCATTCTCAGGCCCCACCAGGAGACCTGACTTTTCAGCAGGGACAGCTTTGCTGGTAACCAAAGGGCCATCAGAACCTGTCAGGAGAAAACTCACTGGAGAAAAACAACCAAATTCCTACAATGGGAAATAAAGTCTTCCAAATCCTTAAGAGGAAACTAGGGGCAAACACCTTGGGGATCACAAGGACGGGATGATTAGGTGATGGGCATCTGAGCAAGGGAGGTAAGCAACGACCAAGGGAAAGATGAGACCATTTCAGTCCATACTATCACATTAACTTTTCATGCCCTGCTATGTCCAAGGAGCTCAAACTCACTCTCCTTCTTGGCCCCCTTGTTTTTTTTGCTGTTCTTTGCTTTTTCTTTGGGTTTTTCACCCCGTGTCTCAATCATGGACCTCACAGGTTTCTTGGCCTTTTCAGAATCTTCAAATTTCTTCATGGTTGTGGGAGCACGGATCTTACTGCTCTCCTCTGCTTCACTAGAAAGAAGAGAATGATCAAAGTCCAGAGAAAGGACCCTCACACCAAGAGCCCAGTTACAACTGGACAGCAAATTCCGTGTGTTCTGATAAACAATTTACTCCCCTGGAACCGCCCTCAGGAAGGAAGGGAGATTATCAGGTCATGGAAATCAACTGTGCAGAGGGGAGGCCTCTCACCGAAGGAGCCGCAGGAAGTCATTTTGGAAATCAAAAGTGCCATTCAATAGACTTAAAGCACTTTGCTGTTGGATCTCTGTACGGTACTTGTCCCGAAACAGCCGGTGCACATCATCTATCAATTTGTCTACATACGTCAGCGTTAGGATCTTCTGAAAACCAACCTGTTCAGGGAGAGAAACAGAGCCAACAGATCTGCTTACAAGCCAGCTCACTCCAGGCCTCCAGAGACTGGCTCAGCGGCCTGGCACGTTTCCCCGACCTGAGGGGCAGCCAAGGTCTCTGCCTGGGCTCAGGAGCGTCTTCCCTTTCCCCCTCCACTGTCTGTCTTCTCAGTTACTTCACCGTATACACTGGGCTCAATTAATGAGGGTTCTCTTAATCAGGATTAAAGAAAAGTGTAATCATTATCCTTCTAAAATAGCCCCACTTACCACAAACACCAGCTCAAACTGGTTGTCCAATTTGTACTTGAGTGTGAGTGCCTCATGGGTGAAGGAGTTGTTACCTCCCCTTTCCTGGAAGAAAAAAAAAAAAGTAGAGTTCAGACTACCCAGAAAACCCAGACTTGAGCCCCTCAAGGATCACCTATGGGAAAGAACCAGACACTTCCCTCAAAGTCAAACCTGTCGTCCCCAGGACAAGAGGATGCTGGGGCACTGCTCTCTAGCAGCATCCCATCAGGGAGAAAAGGAGGTGCCAAGTTGGGGGGAGGGGGACGGTTAAGAGGAAAAGAGGTTAGAGGGAAAGACACGTGGGAGCCAGAAGAGAGAATCACACAATCAGATTTACTAGCAGCTGTACGCTATTTACAGCTTTTTTAAAAGCGTTTTTCCATGATCTCGCCCAGCACCCAGCCTTCGACACAACAGAAAATTAAGCTGCTAGGGGGTCAATGGAGGGAACTATGGGAAATCTCAAGAGACGCCGGGATTCAGCTAGAGTCCCAGAGACGGAGGGGGAGGGGGCGTCGCAAAGTTGCTAGAGGTCCCAGGGGAGCGGGAAAGAGAAGCGGAATACTGGCAATGAGTGAGTGGCCAGTTTGGGGTAGGCGGAGAAGGTGGGAGGAGGGCGTGGGATCAGTTGAAGGGGCTATGGACCAGTTCAGGGGGTCGAGCCCGTAGTTCTGATCCCGAGGGGGCTATACCTGCAGCAGCACAGAACGAATCAACGCATTAACGGGCCCGGTGCATGAGTCGCTCACGCCCTGGAAGCACCAGAGCACAAGCCCGCCTTTGGAGAAAATGGTGAAGAAGTCGAGCATGGCGGCAGCGGGAAAGGAGCCGGGGCCGGCGCCGGGAACTCAGGCCGCGATCGCCGCCGCTTCCTGCTGCGCCAAGCTCGGGACACGTCACACCAGCGGTCCCGGAAACCGGCTCAGCCGCACTTCCGCTCCGAGCTGCTGTGTTCTTTCTCCGCCTCCGCCCGAGGGCGCGCAACACTTACGCAGGCGCCAGGCTCGCCAATGGCGGGTGGGGGCGGACCTGGGCGGGGCTCTCAGAGAGGACGGCCTACAGCGCGGAGGGGCGTGGCCCTCAGGACCCGCTGGCCAATGGGCGCGCTCGTCTGAACGGCCTGCGGCGCGGAGAAGTGACGGCAGAGTGGGGCTGGCGTCGGGAGGTGGGGTGGGGGGGTCTCCCAGAGGGCCTGGGCTCTGAGTGGTCATGCTTCGCAGGACGTTGCTTTTGGGCTTGGGCCGGGGCCCCTTGGGCCGGGGTCTAGGCACACACAGAGGAGGCTCTGTTCTGGGTAAAGTTGAGGGCCGCGGAGGGTATCGTGGTTCTTGGATGGCCCCAGGCTCCACCTCTGTGACCTTCCGGACTCAGGACCCGGCCCACGATGTAAAGACAGTGGGTCGGCTGGGAGGAGGGGGTACGCTTTCCTGCCGGAGCTTGTAAAGGTTGGGCTTCCCAGGAAGCCCCTCTCAGGTGACAAATTACAGATCGTTCTATGCCTCAGTTTACCACCAGCATAACAGAGAGCCAGGTTGATTGGTTGCAGAGCTAGCTGTGCCTTAAAGTCCTGCTCGCGTGCAGGATGCTGCACTTAGCGTGTGGCTGTTAAGGAGGGAAGAGAAAGAAGGTTCAGTGTGTGGCCTGGAGTGCAGCCGGAGAGTGAAGACTTCAATAGACCAGTTCAAGACTGGATAGAATCCAACTTGGACAAATGCCCTGCACTGCTAGTCCCCGAAGCTAGTGTAACTGGAGAAGTACAGTGAGCAGATGGGAACTGAGATCAGCCTTGATGGATATCGTTTACTGGCTCAGGGAAGGTGTGTGTTCCAGGTTGCGGACGAAAATTAGAAGTATTGGTTTTGTGCAAGAATCTAACAAATTTAGAAGTATTGGTTTTGTGCAAGAATCTAACAAAAGCCACGTAGGTAGAGAGCAGAGATAGGAAATGTAGTGTGGATGGGTGAGGTAAGCCTAGATCAAAGAAAGATTCCAACATTGCCGAGAAGAGTTTGAATTTTGTATTGGAGTCGGTGAGACGACTTGGAGATTTGTGTGTTAGGTGTGAAAGATGAAAGGATTCATTGATTCAAGGCACTGATGGCGTACCAGGTTCTGTGCTAGGCTGAAGACTCATTGGTGAAGAAGGTAGGCATAGTACCATATGAAGCAATGACACTTAAACTCAAAATTGCAGGTGTGTTGCATGAGGTAATGAGACCATGTGACAGGAGATTCTGACAGTCCGCAGAGTCAGGAAAGACTTCCCTGAGAAAAATGAGAACTGAGCTGAAAGCGAAAAGAAGCAAGGAGTTAACCAGGCAAAGAAGCGGACACGGTTTCAAAGTCGAGATAACACTTGTGTAGATTCCCTGCCACCATCGAGGTGTCGAAGGGGGCAGAGTGGGGGAGTGGGGAGAGAAAAAGGTAAACCAGAGCCAGAGTGTGCTGTGCCTCATCCATGTTGAAGATCTTGGACTTTTATTCTTAGAGTAATGGAAAACCACTGGAAGGTTTTAAGCAGGAGAGTATGTGATTGAATTAGTGCTTAGAAAATATTCTAGCTGTGATGCAAAAGAGTCAGGTGGTAAGAGGAGGATTAGTGGGAACAGTAAGGCTTTTGGGTTAGTCCAGGTGAGAGGTCATGGTAGTTTGGGCTAAGGTGGTGGTGGCGGAGATGGGGAGGAAAGGGGGACAGATTGGAGAGATCTTTAGGAGGCAAAGACATCAGGACTTGACAATAAATAGGACATGAATGTAGCTTTGTCGGTGGTGACGGATATCCAGGATAAGGTGCCACTCAGAGGTATCATGCTTCAGAGGACACTGCTGCTTGGAGTGTGCCAGGACCTATTGGTCCAGGAGCCTGGAACCCTCCTCTCCGAGAGGAGAGGGAAATGCAGTTGAATATATGAGCCTGTGATTCAAGGGAAAGAGCAGTCTGCACAGGAGATAAGCACGCGTAAGTCACCTGGCCTAGGGAGAGAGTATAGAGTGTTCTTTTTGAGAAGTTGAATCTTGCAGTGCTGGGCATGATGCGTGAGACGGGAAGAGAGCCTGATGGCACAAAGACCACATGGCGAAGCTGTGGAATACTGCTGGGTGCAGGCTGACCTTATGAGAGGGGATGACCGTGGGAACAGCCAGCTCAGTGTCTGTTTCCCTTTAGCCAACCTTCTCCTGTGCCCATCCTCTAACCCCCTACCACCTGTAAAGAAAATGTATGGCCTTCTGACCCTAACTGCGTCCCACAGACCGAGATGGAAAGATGTCCGAGATCAAGAAGAAGATCCAGTCAATCCTTCCCGGCGGGGACTGGAATCCACCGTACGACATCAGCTACCTGCCCCCTGAGAGCTCGGATGTGGTGATTGTGGGGGGTGGGGTGCTTGGCCTGTCCGTGGCCTATTGGCTGAAGAAGTTGGAGAAGCCACGAGGTGCCATTCGAGTGCTGGTGGTGGAACGGGACCACACGGTGAGGTGTGGGGTAGAGCAGTGTCATGACTGGGGCACGGACTCCTATTTTATTAAGGGGCAAGGGGAGGGGAAGGGAGGAAAGACTTTGATCTTTGGAGGTCTAAAGGGCAGGGACTGTACTTTGACTCTTGTTGAGAAACAGTCCCGGGTTCTTCCTTCAAATTAGAGACTTTGGCCATAGAGTTTTTGCTTGTAAAAGCACATTTCACAATGTCAGATCTTTTGGGCGCCCACAGGTCCGTCTGAGAGCCTGCATTCCGGCTGGAATCAACACAAACAGCTATCCCCTCCCCCTTCCAGGTTCCTTTACTTCTGAGTTTTTGCACTTTAGTTCCGATTAGCCATTGAGAGTTAGCCATGAATCTTACTAGTTTGGTCATATTCCTCTATTTTCCAATTAGTAGATGAAGTGTTAATCTCCTGCCCTTGGACTTCAAGGCCATTACCGTTTTGTGCCACAGTGCCCAGCCCTTTTAGATGACTGGCTCTCTCTGCTCTGCACATCTGCTAAGAAGGATTTTAATAATTGTTGTCCTCTTTGGGTGCTGGTTGACTTGCATACAGGTTTATCCACCTCAACTCCTCTTAGATTATAAACGTGCAAGTAGGACCCCCCATTACCCCTAGGGGCTTCCGTTCCAGTATTCTGCTCCCAGGTGACAGGGTACTGGTCTCCCTCAGTTACTTTTGTCTTTCCACAGTATTCCCGGGCCTCCACTGTGCTTTCCGTGGGCGGGATTCGTCAGCAGTTCTCGGTGCCTGAGAACGTCCAGCTCTCCCTCTTTTCAATTGACTTTCTACGGAACATCAATGTATGTGCAAAGAGATTTGGGGACTGGGGTGGTGAGCACTCCTTTCGCCCAGAGAGAGGAGCAGCCCAGTTGGCCAGGGGGATCAGGGAGCGGAAGCAGTTCGGGACACTAGAAGTTGGAACCACCAGTTTTCTCCCCAGTGGTGGTACCCAGAGGGGCGCTTCTCTGAGCCCTGGGAGCTGTTGGTGAGGAGGCCAGAAAAGCTCTCCCTCCCTCCCTCCTTTAAATCAGCTTCTCTAAAGAACTTTTTTTTTCTCTTTGCGCACACACAGGAGTACCTGGCTGTAGCTGATGACCCTCCCCTGGACATCCAGTTCAACCCATCAGGTTATCTCTTGCTGGCTTCAGAAAAGGGTGCTGCCATCATGGAGAACAACGTGAAGGTGCAGAGGTGGGTGGGGTGCCTGGCACGACCACCCAGCTACTGCTCAGCTGTGTGCGTGTAGCAAGCTCTGACACCAAGTTAGGAACTGAGAAACCCGGTGGGGCGGGGATGGGGAGGGGAGTTGATGAGATAGGTCCCTGCTGTGTAGGAGCTCTGACAGGAGTCTGTCAGGAAGCACAGACACATGCAGACCTCCAGTACCCTGTGCTAAGTGCTCGAACATGGATACAGACAACACACTGCTGCGGTGGTTCCTAAATCGGCCAGATCACAAAAACCACCCGGGAAATCCCAGACCTAATAAGCCAGAGCCTCTAGGGAAGGGCCCAGGAATCTGCAGACTTTTCCTGCAAGGGCCAGATAGTACACATTTTAGGCTTCGGGGGCCATATGGACTCTGCTGCCATCATTCAGCTTTGTAGTCGAAACAGAAGCAGCCAGGGACAAGATATAGGCAGAAATAGAAATGAATCAGTGTGACTCAGGAACAAAATGCAGCAGGCTGGTTGGGGCAAGCCCTCTCCTAAGTGCGTCTCGTGATCGGTCAGGAGCATGTGTCTATAACAGTCTCGCGGGTCTTACTAGGGACATCGGGTAATGTCCCAGATGCAGTAGTTATTCATTTAGTCACCAAGACATCCCCATTTCACATGTGGGTAAACCGAGGCATAAGGTAGCTAGCAAGTGGTGGCACTGGGATCTGGACCAGGCCGTCGGGCTTGCGAGTGTGTTGTTTTAGGGTCTGCGTTGCTGCCTTTCGAGGACAGTGTCCCATAGGAGATCATTGTGCTAGTGAGCAGGACTGTACTAGAAGGTAGACAGGAAGGTCATTCCAGGCAGAAGGGAAGGAGACAAGCGGAAGGGACACAGTGGTCTGCCCTGTTGTGAAAGGATACAGGATAGTTAGGGGATGTCAGGGAGTTTAGTGTGGTCAAAGGGATACCAGGGGGTAGGAAAGGAAAGAGGGGTCAGCTGAAGAGCCATGACTAGGACGCTTGGCCTTTACACGTTCAACAGGGAGGAAAACTTGGGGGTTTGGGGCAGAGAAGTTACGTGAATGAATCGGAATCCCCACTTGTGGAGTCGGGGTCCATACTTCGCCTTCTCTGCACCGTCCTCGCCTCTGACACACAGGCACACAGTCGCGCATTTCTCTCAGGCAGGAAGGAGCCAAAGTTTGCCTGATGTCTCCTGAGCAGCTTCGGAACAAATTTCCCTGGATAAACACAGAGGGCGTGGCTTTGGCATCTTATGGTAAACCGTGCTTGCAGAGGGGATCAGGGGTTGAGGGGCGCCTCAACGTTGGAAGTCTCAGCATCCTGTAACCCGCCTCTAGAAGCAGTGCTTCCCCCCGGGCCAGCAGAGCCTCCCTTGGACCCTGCTAGCTCTCTGTCCTTCCACAGGATTTCACTCTGGTACACTTGGTCAACGTGAACCTTCCCTGGCTTCCCTAAAGAGGAGTTGGGGGCACAGGAAATCCAACAGGAGAGGAGGGTCCTAATCCCACCTCCTGAGTCCTCTTTCTTATCACAGGGATGGAGCACGAAGGTTGGTTTGACCCCTGGTGTCTGCTCCAGGGGCTTCGGCGAAAGGTCCAGTCCATGGGGGTCCTCTTCTGCCGCGGAGAGGTGACACGTGAGTCTGAGGCCCCGTGCCCACTGCTCCTTTCCTCTGCCAGCTGGGGCACAGGCCTAGATGGGGTCTTATCTTCACTCACGGGCTAAGCACGGGTTGGTGGGGAATGGGGTTCTCCCTGCGGCCTGGTCCTGAGCATCCTGACTCCAGCTCCTAAGTAGGCTTTCTCAGGACTCGTGTTGCACGTGAAGGTTTCAGCTTGCTCCCATTTTGCATGCAGTCAAGGTCATCTTGGTTACCCCATATCTGTTTGCGGGAAAGCTCCGGTCTTCCAGGTTGCTTTCCTAATGAAGTGCACGGAATCCCAGTCTCGTCTTCTTCAGGCCTCAGGCACTTCTTTTCTTTTTCCTGCAGGTTTCGTGTCTTCGTCTAACCTCATGAAGACTGCAAGTGGGGAAGAAGTGAATTTGAAAAGGATCCACGAAGTTCATGTAAGTTGCCAGCCTGTGCATCTTCCTTACCAAAGTGCAAGGGTGGAAAAGGTAACGGCTGTCATTTTGGTCTTTCTCTACCCACTTCCAGTCTGGGTAAACTAAGGCTTGGGAAGAAATGTACCTCTCACAGGGCCCGGTATGTGGGCCAGGCCTTCCTTCCCCTCCCTTTCTGGTGCCTTCAGGTGAAGATAGACCAAAGCCTGGAGTACCAGCCCGTGGAATGTGCCATAGTGGTCAACGCAGCAGGGGCCTGGTCTGGCCAGGTTGCAGAGCTGGCTGGCATTGGGAACGGGCCACCTGGCACCCTCCAGGGCACCAAGCTACCTGTGGAGCTGAGAAAAAGGTAACTTCCCTCAGGGCAGCTGAGGAGGTCGGTGAGAGAGGGAAAGAAGCAATGTAAGAGTTTGGTAAATGTGCTGGGAAGGGGATTTCCTAACCTGCTGGTTGTGGCAGGTACGTGTACTTGTGGCACTGCCCCCAGGGACCAGGCCTGGAGACCCCGTTCGTTATAGACCCCAGTGGAACCTATTTCCGCCGAGAAGGATTAGGCCATAACTACCTGGGTGGCTGTAGCCCCACTGAGGTAAGCTAAGCGGGGTTGGGGTGCTGGGCAGGGGACATAGGCCACTGTCATCGAAGAGTCAGGCTCCTTGGACGGCCCAGCGCTCTCACTGATGTTGAGCCTCCTCTGGGTTTGAACTGGGATCTTTTCTCCCCATCCCCTCCTACTGAGGGGCTCAGTGAGGTCTGGGTCAGCCCTTGTGTCCCAGGCAACATCAGCCATGTCCCCACCTCTCACCGTAGGAGGAGGAACCGGATCCAGGGAACCTGGAGGTGGACCATGATTTCTTCCAGGACAGGGTGTGGCCCCCTTTGGCCCAGAGGGTACCGGCTTTTGAAACTCTGAAGGTAACAGGAGACCCATGAGCCTGGAGCACCTGGGTCGGCTTGGAAAGCTTGTCCACTGCCACTCGCCCTCTGCCTCACAACTGCTAAGGACTCTTGGTCTAGGGACCCATCCCACTGACCCCTCGGGGGCTGGAAGAGGGTGCCGCGTCTGTCCCCAGAGCAGGAGTGAGGGTGGCACGTGTCGGCACCTTCCCAGGCACACCTGTGTCTTGTACACCTGCAGGTTCGGAGCGCTTGGGCCGGCTATTACGACTACAACACCTTTGACCAGAATGGCGTGGTGGGTCCTCACCCACTGGTCATCAACATGTATTTTGCCACGGGCTTCAGCGGCCACGGTCTCCAGCAGGCCCCTGCCGTGGGGCGAGCTGTGGCGGAGATGGTGCTGGAGGGCCACTTCCAGACCATCAACCTGAGCTCCTTCCTCTTCAGCCGCTTTTACTCGGGAGAGAAGGTCCAGGAGCACAATATCATCTGAGCCTGTAAGCTCTTCGCTGGGCCCTGCCGCCCTGTCCTGTCCGCCCCCCCCCCCCGGGGGGCGGGCGCGCCCCCCCCCCCCGCCCCCCCCCCGCCGTGGCCTCCCTACACTCTCCTGTCCCTACAGGGCTGGGCGGGCAGGCTGACTATGGGCTGTGAGGCCCAGGCCAACAGAGAGTGTTGGAGGGGGAGACCCCAGGACTGACGGCCCGGGCTGAGGCCACCCGCCAAGGCAGTGCAGCCGGACAGAATACCTGAGCACGTGGCCCAAGACTGCCTTCTTCCTGGTACTGAGCCAGCAAGATCACCTATGCCCCTCTTGGCAGGCTACCCCGGAGCCCGGGCAGGGAGCCTTCCAGGGCGGCTGGTACAGATTTAGTGACCATTTACCTACTCATCAATCAATAAATGTTATTACTCTTTCCAGTCAGTCTTCTGCCCCTTCTCCTTTGACCTCATAGCAGTTGCTTCTGAAGCACCGGTAGCCTTTGGTCCCAGGCCGCACGGCCTTCCCCTCCCGGCAGCATTCTCCCGTCCTAGGTGTAGGCAGCTTGTTGGCAAACTAGTGCCTTCCCTTCCTGAGTTGCTGCAGAGGGAAGGGATGGTTCATTCCTTTATTCAGCATTTTTTCGGCTCCAACTCTCGGCCAGGCCCAGGGCTACATATCAGAGATCTACCACCAGGAGTGGCATCCTCTGCATCCTCACTGGAGCGTTCTTATCTGTGCCCGCCCCACAGCCCAGAGCAGACTGAGTGCAGTCCCTGCAGTGCCAGGAAGAAGCGCAGGTCACGGACACCTCATCTCAGCTGTGTCTCCACAGAGCTCCCCCAGGGAAGCCGACCTCTGAGCTGAACCTATAGGATGAGCGGTTGAACACAGTGAAGGCACAGCAGGGACCGGGGGTGGGGTGGGGACCGCAGGCTGTGGGGAAGATTGTATACAAATGCCCAGGACCAAGACTTCACAGGATTCGGGGGAGGATAAGTGATGTCCTGGCTAGATCATGGAGTGAAGAGGGGTAGTAAGGAGTAGGGCAGGGCCAGGGGCTGAAGAGCCAGGTGTGGAGCTCAGGCTGTATTCCGTGGGCTTTCCGTAGGGAAGTGACATGCTCAGATTTTCCTTTTTTTTTTTTTTTTGAGTTTATTTTTTTATTTTGAGAGAGAGGGAGAAAGTATGCACATGAGTAGGGAAGGGGCAGAGGGGCGGAGAGGGAGAGACAGAGAGAGAGAATCCCAAGCAGGCTCTGCACTGACAGCTCAGGAACCGTGAGATCATGTCCAGAGCTGAAATCGTGAGTCAGCAGTTTCACCAACTGAGCCACTCGGGCGCCGCAGATTTTCCTTTCAGAAAAATCACTCTGACTGCCTTGTGGAGAACAGATTGTGGTATCAAAGCAGGAGGCTTTGCTGTAGTCCATGTGGCAGAAACAATAGTGCCCACGCTGTCACTGCAAGAAGCTTGTGTATCCAAAGAGGTGACAGTAGTAACAAGAAACGGGGTCAAGCATGACACTCAGGCATCTGGCTTGGACAACTAGATGTATATCTTGCTTTCGTAGAGGTGAGGGATGCCAGGGAGGAGCCGTGTGGGGGACAAAATGAAGCAGTTTGAGACCTGTCGAGTCAAAGGTGCCTGGTAGAGGTGTCTAACGAGGAGTTGAGTTTATTGTCATGGCACTCAGGATGATCCAGGCTGCGAACACCATGGAAGAGAAGGGCATCACCCCCACGAAGGGAGAAGAGTAGGGAACCAAGGGGGACACTGGACACTGACGTTTAAGGGATGAACCAAAGGAGAGGAAGCTGAAGAGGTGGCCAGAGAGGCAGGAAAAAAGCCAGGAGCATGAGGTATCATGGGAACCTAGAAGGAATGGGCGATGATACCCACGCACGTGCACTGGCTGGGTCGGTACCAAGTAGGTCATTGGGGACCTGAGGGAGAGCAGTTCTGGGAAGAAGGTGGGGTTTGAGGTGACAGCTGTCCAGAAGGGAGAAGCAGGTGGGAGCAGAAATATCTAGGAAAGTGTTCATTCCCCCTGAAAAGCGGCCTTTGGGGAGAAGAAGGAAACACAAGAGATGGACGTGACTGATTATCGATTGTGTAAGGGAGAGAGGCCAGGGGAGATGCCAGTGAGGTAACAGGAGGAGCCCCTGTGGGTGTGGGGGTGGGGGACAGCCAGGACTGATCAGGTGAGCAAAAGAGGAAGAGCCACCAGTGCTGAAAGGCAGGAAGGAACTTGGCCAGGGGCACAAGGCAGTGACAACTCAGGCCAAACCCAACATCTGTGTTAACCCTGTAAGCAAGCCTTGTCAGGTGCCTGATATTCACTCCCCCTTCCTTCGGTACAAATACCCCCGTCCATGGGTCAGAAGGAAAATGGGCTTCATCTGACTCCTCACCCCGAAGCGACATCAAGATGACAAATACTGTACTTATTTATTAAGAACACATTGATGAATCCTCCATACTTCCACAGGTCTTTTTTTTTTTTTAATTTTTTTTAAACGGTTATTTATTATTGAGAGATACAGAGAGACAGAGCATGAGCAGGGGAGGGGCAGAGAGAGAGGGAGACACGGAATCCGAAGCAGGCTCCGGGCTCTGAGCTGTCAGCACAGAGCCCGACATGGGGCTCGAACTCACAAACTGCGAGATCATGACCTGAGTCGAAGTCGGAGGCTTAGCCACCTGAGCCACCCAGGCGCCCTCACAGGTCTTTTTAAAGTTTATTTTGAGAGGGAGGGAGAGAGTGTGAGCAGGGGAGGGGCAGAGAGAGAGGGAGAGAGATCCACAGGGCTTTATTCAAGCTTGTAGGAGAGCATTCATTCCATCTATCAAACTGTACGAGAGTTGGGGCCCAAGCCTTCTTCACCTGTATCCCAACACCAAGCTGTCCGTGTCTCCTGGAGTAACTCTGCTCTGCACCCGAGCCCGAAGGGGATCCTGGGCCTCCGAGACTTTTCAGTCAAATGGGAGGGCTAACCCTCATCAGCCCAACTCCAGACAACACAAGGTTTGTAGGGAACAACACAGGGATTGTAGGGAAAGAGGCCAGAGGGGCAGGGTTAAGAAAGGATTTCCTTCGTAAATTGCAGAATTGAGGCTTGCCACAAGAGGGACGTTTGAGAATCGCAGCACGGAAAGGGGGGACCCCACGGTGGAGGGAACAGCAGAACTCAAGCACCCAGCAAGGAAAGCTGAGGTGAGTTTCATAAAGAGTAAAAGAAACCCAGAAGCCCTTCCTGTACCTCCTACCTACTTTATCTCATGGACTCCTCCCCACAGCACCAGGAACCAGATCCTAAAATTCGATGATGAGTAAAGTGAGCCTCCGCAGGCTGCACACTTCCAAGGTCGGAGGGCTAGTAAGTGATGAGCTCTGGATGCGAACTCCAGCAATCTTACTCCAGAGCCCTCCTGCCCAGCCTTATACTACATTGCCTGCCGGGATTAGCCACTAATTCTCTCTGCTGGCTGGTGAGAAAAGGAGGAAATCAGACTGAAAGGGAGATGGTGAATCTTCCACTGGCCCTGTTAAACTACCGGCATCCTCCAAGCATTTCGTGCGCACGGTTGTAGGAGTGTTTCCCAAACTGGCGTGCCATGGACCCCTGCTCAGGAAGACCCCGATATTTCTCCTACGGTGAAACAAGTTTGGGAAATGCTACATGTTGTGTTCCCTCCCCCACCCAAACCGGGTTCATCACGGTGCAAACGGGCAGGTAAAGAAATCCTGCACCCTGTTTAACCCCGGACTCGGCCAACGTCTTGCTCACCACATTTGTGCGGCAGCTCTGTCACCCTGCAGAGCAGCGCTCCTCGCGCCCTTTCGGGAATCGCAGTGGGGCGCAGCGCAGGGGCCGGCATCGGCTTCCCGCTTCGGCTTCGGTGTCCCGGGCGGCCCCCTTCGGCATCCGAGAGCCACGTTCCCAACCTACCGTGCGGCCTCTGGACAAGTTCAAGCTCCGCTTTTCTTAACTGTAGAAAAGGAAAAAAAGGTATGGGATCTTGCCTTGCAGGGTGTCAAGAGGACGAAATGCGTGGAACACGGGTTTCTTTTCCTTCTCCCCGACGCGGGACAGTGTCGCGGCGGGTTTCCGGGGGACGCGGGAGGACAGCCTCTTCTCCGGGTTTCCGCCCGGTTGCGGGCTCCGGAGCTCCCAGGGCGCCGCCGGCGGGCAGCAGGGAGACGCGGCTCCCGGGCCGGGTGACGCGGCGGCGGGAGCTCCTCGCCGAGTCAGGGCGCGGGCCGGGGAGGAGGAGGGGCCGCGGGCCGGGCCGCCTCGCCGCTTCCGGCGGAGCCGGGGGAACCGGGCAGGCGGTCGGCGGCC